TCCAGCAACTAGATTGTTGTATAAATCAACCTCGAAACCCATGTCCATAAATCTCATCTGCAATGAAGAAGCATCCTGGTCTGTGCCCGTTCTCTCCCCTAGTCCAAGACCACGGTCAAATTCCCTGTTGTTTATGATTATCGCCCTCCCTCTCTGTGGATAATCCATCTTGTACTCATCAGCAAAGAACTCCTCTGCTGACATAATCGGCTCCCCATCACCACTGAAAAATAAATGGTATCTTATTAATTCTATATCATTTTCTATAGGGTTTTAAATAACACAGAAACTGTAAAAGTCATATGGCAACTTTCAGACTTTAATGACAATGAATTATATCAGGTACATGCAGACACCAAAGTAGAATCACCAACATACTGTATGTTAGCAGAATAATATCCTGTCATGAAAGAATCCAAAATTCAAATCCACAGATTAGAGGCACAGAAACTTAAATTACTTAATCCAAGAACCCATTTCCACATCTTTAATAGTTACTGTAAACTCATTCTTGTAAAAGAAATTATTGGTACACCTGTTGTTAAACTGCAGCAACACCACAGGATTTAAAAATTGCAAAAATTAAAAATAAATATTAATAACATGATTTCAAGACCCAAGGTACCTTCCATTTGTTCAGGTAAACATGAACACATGAGTGACAGCATAACAACCATCCTTCAATAAACTAGATATAAAACCTCTTTATCTTATTACTAGGGAGTCATTGGCCCCAAAACATGGTATAATATTCCCTAGAGTTATAAGATAATTGTTATGAGTTAACCTTTTCCCTTATATAAGCGTGTTTCGACGGCTTTCCCCCCCCCCCCTTTTTGAGGCCTCAAACAGTGAAAAAATGTCCTATTTAGGCCCCAAACACTGTTTTTCGTTTGAGAAATGTTGTTAAAAAAAGTGACCACTTTTTCGGCGCCGTCCCCCATCCAAATATGTGCCCCCTTCTGTTTGGGGGGTTTGAAGGGGGGGCGGAGTCCCCCTCATCGCCAAGAAAATTTTGGACATGTGACAGGCTAAAAATGGCCTCAGGTCGATCTTAGGGTAACTTGTAACCGACGCTGAAAAGCCTTTTACTCTATCTCAATTCATTGAGAAGTTGCAGCACTTTGAAATAAAAAAAAACAATGCCAAATAGTGATTTTTGGCAATTTTGAGACGTCCCCCCGTTGCCATGGTATCAGGAAATTTACCATTGAGCATGCTGTTACAGAGGCTATGGTGTAGTCAATATTTGTGCCAAGTTTCATTAGTATTGAAGCATTTTTCATAGTTTCATAGCAGTTTGAACTTGTTACAGTGAGGCTTTTCAATGAAAACGGCCATTTTTCGCAATATGCTCATGGGGTAAAAGGTTAAATTGTTAAAAGTTTATAGTGGTAAAGGCCACTGTGATCTTGACCTTTGATCGACAGTTGTGTTCATCTACTAGTCATGACTACCCACAACCCCAAACCTTAGCACTTAATTTCACATGCTTTAAGAGAAGAAGATTTTTTTTTATTATTTACTAAGTACATAAACGGAAAACACATGGCATACCCCCACCCCATGACAGAGCCAATTTTGACAAAGGAACAATAATTTGAATAATCTTGTTAGAGGTAAACTAGACAACATTTCATCCAGAATATCTAAATTTTCGCCTTTAGACTTTCAGAGAAGACGAATTTCAACTCCAGACCATAAATTTGGCAAACCTGGTAACGGTCCACAAGCTGATGTTTTATGCAAAAAATTTAAGCTCTAGCCCATCAGGCTTTTAAAAAAAAGAAGGCTTTACTATAAACATGTAAGAAAAACCATTTTTCCCCCACAAGTATGGTCAAATTTGACCCGAGGTCCATACTGGTAATTTAAACAATCTTGATACAGATCCATTAGATAATGTTCGATAAAACCAAATATCTAAGCTCTAGCATATGGGATTTCAGAAAGATCATTTTTAAAGTTTTTACTTGTAATAATTATACATACATGTATAAGAAAAACCTATGACCCCCTGTGACAGAGCCAATCTTTACCCTATTGCCATAATTTTAACAACCTTGTAGAATGTTTACTAGATAATGTTTCATGTTAAATATCTAGGCTCTAGTCCTTACTGTATACATATACTGAAAACCCATGACCCTGAGAAGAGGACCAGTGTCGACTTCCGGATCATTATTCATTTGAACACTCTTGGTAGAGATTCATTGGATGATTTTTTCTTGCTAATTATCTTAACTGTAGCTCTAAGGTTCCAGAAAAAAACATCATTTTTAAGTTTTTGAAAATCATCTGAAAATCAAATTTTACCTATATCAATTCTTAACTTTTACACATTTTATTTTCAGTAAACCTGTCAGTAATAAACTACAGGGTATTCATATGTAGGAAACTTACGTTGTGACGGGAAATTTCCCTGCACTGGCCCCTCTACTGGGTTTGGCATCAGTATTATCACTGGGTTTCGCATCTACCACATCCTGTGACTGTTCACCTGAAACAATCATATAATGTGTTTTATTATAAGGATATCAGCTAAATTAATAGATCAAATCCAAACCATTCATTTTCAACTGATATACAACAATATAAATGAAGGTGCATAAAATACACACTATCTCATTGGACTTGAAAAACTAAAACTAAAATATATACCGTAACCCATTTAATTTAAAATTTATCGCTGTCTTTATCATTTACAAATCCAGTACAGAAGTAAAACACTGTGTATACTAGTACCATTTTCAAGCTCTGATAATAATTTCATGTGAATTTAAGCCAAAAAAGAAAAAAAAATTATACTTAAAATAATTTAAATTTTTCCTGCCTTCCATTATTATAGCCAAAAATAATATATTCCTGTCAGGTCTATATTTCTTTAATTTCAGTTTATAACATGCGCGTAGCTCTTTTTATACTGTTAAAAAGTACAGTTCCAATTCAATATAAATGCTTTTTCAACCCTACTCATCAAGTTGAATGACCCTTCCAGTAAATAATACACTTAATATAGATACTCCATTACCTTCATAATAACATAATGCTTTTTTAATACTGCTGACCATTTTAGGAAAATAAACTGGCCATATGTGACCGGTCATTTCAAGTCAATAACACTACATTCCTATGAAAGGTGGTCAATAACATCAAAGATTTCCTGCTAATGTTTTAAATTTTAATCTTAGACTTTTAACACCTGTTAACAATAGCTTTAAAGTTTGCTGTTTATATTTTCTGACTTATCTAATTGCATTGGTAACATTTGGTCAGTTAGACAAACATTTTATATAATAAAGAAGCAGGTCAATGCCCAGTTTGTTGAAATTTCAGATAATGTACTATCACTGTAACTTTAGGAAGTGTTGTTATGTGACATCACCTTTTGTAGCAATTGCTCTACCTTGTAGACTATCCTTAAACAACTTTCATACTTTTTAGTAAGAAACAAGAAAAGTTTTAAAGGATCTAGAGTTTTTATACTGGAAACAAAATCATTAGAAGATGGCCATGATGCCCATGAGTCACTCACCATAAACAACTGCTTTTGAAAATTGGAAATTATTTTTTCCAAATTAACTTTGTTCAAGGGTATTTCTATTTTTAGCTTTAGTGGCCCCTAAAAGGGACCAATCAAACCAATATGAGGAAACTTGATAAAAGACTACCTAAGAATGCAAAAGACAAAATTTGGTGATCAATTAGTTCTGTTGAAGGAGACATTTAAATGTATTTCTACTTTTAGCTTTAGCAACACCTAGAAAGGGCCAATCAAATAATTATAAGCAAACTTGATAAAAGACTACCTAAGAATGCTACAGACAAACAAGAGCACCGCTAGGCGGAGCATTATATGCCCGAAAGTGATTTTTTTTTAAAGTAAAGATGAAGCATTTGTAAGACATGGGAATTAAATAAAGTATTACTTCCTTCACAAAACAATCCTCCTTTGAAGTTTCAATATTGTGGTCCAAATAGAACTTAAGTTACGCCCCATAAAACTGATTTCAGTTCTAAGGTAATAGTGACCTTGACCTTGTGACCCCAAAATCAATAGGAGTCTTCTACCTAATATGGACAATCATCCTATGAAGTTTGAATATTGTGGGCCAAATTGAACTTAAGTTATGCTAAAGAAACTGTTTTCAATTTCTAAGTAATAGTGACCTTGACCTTTGACCCCAAAATCAATAGGGGTCTTAAACCCAATATGGACAATCATCTTATGAAGTTTGAACACTGTGGGTCAAATGGAACTTAAGATATGCTCCAGAAACTGTTTTCAGTTTTAAGGTAATAGTGACCTTGACCTTTGACCTTGTGACCCCAAAATCAATAGGGGTCTTCAACCCAATATGGACAATCATCCTATGAAGTTTGAACACTGTGGGCCAAATGGAACTTAAGTTATCCTCCTGAAACTGTTTTCAGTTTTAAGGTCATAGTGACCTTGACCTTTGACCTTGTGACCCCAAAAATCAATAGGGGTCTTCTACCCAATATGGACAATCATCCTATGAAGTTTGAACACTGTGGGCCAAATGGAACTTAAGTTATCCTCCGGAAACTGTTTTCAGTTTTAAGGTAATGGTGACCTTGACCTTTGACTTTGTGACCCCAAAATCAATAGGGATCCCGTACCCAATATGGACAATCATCCTATGAAGCTTGAACACTGTTGGCCAAATGGAACTTAAGTTATGCTCCGGAAACCAAATTGCTAACGGACGGATAGACGTTCTAACAGGAGAGTAATAATGTGGCTTCTCTATTGTTCTCTCTATTGTTCTTTTTAGCCACACAAAAGAAAATAGCCACATAAAAGCATTATGGAATGAATAACATCAAAGAGAAAGAACAGTTACCTATTGTCCCTCTAGCCACATAATTACTGTCCTGTGAGTGCGGACGGACGGACGTTCAAACATTTTGGGTTTAGGGGCTATTTTCTTTGTTATTTTCTTTGTTTTCTTAAGGGCTACTAGCCCATAAACCCTTTGATCACGGAATGAACCTATTGTTCTCTTTACTGTTATATAACCCCTAAACCCAAAATGATTGCTCGGACGGACGGACGCCAGGGGGTATAACATAATATGCCCGAAATTCTTATGGGCATATAAAAAGGTGATCATCCATCCATTAGTTCTGTAGAAGGAGACGTTTAAAGGTATTTCTATTTTTAGCTTTAGCAGCCCCTTAAAGGGGCCAATCAAATTAATATGAGCAAATGCTATAAAAGACTACCCAAGAATGCTACAGACAAAGTTTGGTGATCATCCATCATTTAGTTCTGTAGAAGAAAATGTCTCAAGGTTTTTCTATTTTGAGCTCTAGGAACCACTAAAAGGGGCCAATCAAGCTCATATGAGCAAATTTGATAAAAGACTACCTAAGAATGCTACAGACAAAGTTTGGTGATCATCTATCGATTAGTTCTATAGAAGAAGATGCTGAAAGGTTTTTCTATTTTTAGCTCTAGAGACCCCTTAAAGGGGCCAATCAAATTAAAAGGAGCAAATATGATAAAAGACTACCTAAGAATGCTACAGACAAACTTTGTTGATCATCCATCAACTAGAGGATGCTTTTGTAAAAAAGCGCATGTATCATCAGCTCTATAAGACCAATCATCCTATGAAGTTTGAGGGCTGTAGGTCAAAAGGAACTCTAGTTATCGTCCGGAAACGAAGAATGGACGGACGGACTGACGGACGGACGGACTGACGGACGGACAGGGCAAAAACAATATGTCTCCCCCCGAGGTGGGGGAGACATAATTAGTTCTGTAGAAGATGTCTAAAGGTTTTCTATTTTTTAGATCTCATGACCCCTAAAAGGGGCCAATTGAAATTATATGAGCAAATTTAGGTGTGAGTTTCACAAGGAAGCAAATTTGAAGTCAATCTGTCCAGCGGTTTCAGAGAAGAAGATGATTGTTGACCCTTGACGATGGACAACAGACCATCCCCCTTTGATACTAATAGCTCAGCCTGTACCTTCGGTTCTGTTGAGCTAATAATTTGTGTATTAAGAAAATATCCTTGTCAATAATAAACTAAGTTTTATGTATTAATTTGAATGAAAGATCAAATGTTGCATCAATGGATTGTCTTGATTATTTTTGCATGTCACAAAATTTAAATGCAAATGAGTTATAAAAAATAAAGATTTTCTAACTCTCTAAACAGTCCCTTAACAGTTTGTTTTTATTTTGTATCTAAGGGTTTAGAAATTACTGAAATGAAAGTCATCTAACTGCATATACAAAATCAAAATTAGCAACACAATAACCTATAATTAAAATAATTAAGAAAAAATAAGACTATCAGCAAGCATTCAGTTCATTTCAAAAATAATTGATAAACTCTTTCAAACTTACATTATTAATATTTTATTTCAATATTTGACCATTCTGATTGTTATATATTTATGAAGGATTCAGGGGAACATAAACATTCAATCAATGTAAATGTATCCACTCATCTCTGTTCCAAAAATTTTCTCCCTATTTACTCTGAAGGGTCTCAATCTCCTTAAAATACAGGGCTAGTGTGATCCATGATTATTATTTGGATCAGAGGTGATATGGAACCTAACCAGAATAACAAACTTTATTTAAGCTTTTTAATTTGCAAATACCCTTTTCACAAAAATTGTGTATTATTCGATTGAAAATATTTGATTTAGCTAAAAATGTATCAAAACTTGTTAGTCTGAAACAAAGAATAATTTTATCAATAAAGTAAAGATTGCACACTCCAAAATGTATTAAAATACAAATTCCCAAAACTAATAAAACCTTATAAATCATTATTAATAGACCTTACCGTGACTTTTCCAGTGTAAATCAACAGAAGATCGAATTACATTCAATGAAATCAGGTGCAATCAGAATAAACATTTATACAACACATTTTAATATGAAAATCAACATTAAATTAAAATCGAAAGTAAATTTGGCATTCTGACCAGGCAATTAGCAGTGTTTTTAATTCGCTCCTTTGCGAATGGTGCCAGTACCTGACAGATTGAGGAAAAATCCATTGGTTTGTCTCAAATTGGTAGATGCAAAATATTTATTAGGAATATCTTTAATCCAGGAGACATGAAAAATTTGCATAATATCACTTTAAAACCATGTATTATTAATGATTATTTAATTTTTGGCTACTTGAGGCTGAAAATATTAAGATTGATAATCATAACAATTGTGCATCAATAATGTTTAGGAGTAAAACATTCAAAGTACAAAATGAACTGGGTTCGAATATAACTCATGCAGTTATACTTGGTTTTTATCGTATATCAATTATCAATATGGAAGCATCCATTACTGTTTTTGTTTACCTTTAAATTTGCCGATTTTTGAGGAAATTTTCAGTGTTATTTTGGGAATTTATTAGTCATGAATTGGGAAATTTGCTGTCTATTTTCTATTGTGAACAGTGCCGTTTTCCGGTATCAGTTATATATGGAAAAAAAACACTGATTAGA